AGCCTGTTTTATCTGGCGGGCTGGCCCAACCCAACCCGTAAAACTTTCAGCCCGCGGGCTGGCCCGCAACCCGTTTGCCCAGTACTACCTCAATTTATGATCCTTCATATTCCCATTCGGCTTTGATGCTTGTGCTCCTTCAATCTCCCGCGCTCGTCCTTTTGCAATGCTTATAAATATTTTATGATAGCTAACAATCCTTGTATATTTTAAAAGGAAGAATTTTTTTTTAGAAAACTACCTCATACAAATAATTTTATAACCCTGCAAAATAGTTTTCAAAATTTTAAAAAATTACCTAGTACCACATCTAACTCGCACAATTGTATGTGAGAGCCCATTTCTCCTTTAAGTCCATTTATTAGCCTAAATTCACACCTTAGTATACATGCATTAAGACCTCTATTCATTTGAGCAATATAGGACTTTTCTTTTTGATACAATTACAACAAACCTCCACATTTGTCAAAAGGAATACAATCATTTAAGTCATTCACATGAGAGATAACCACTTCAAATTTGCTATCTTTCAACTTGAGCAAAATTTAAACCAATAAAACTTAGTATAGAGAAAAGTCGGTGCAATTTCATTATTGAATTAACAAATCATGTGTTAGAAGTCTTATTAGTCGGATTATACCCCCATAATTTTCATTGTTAATGATGGATTTGTGCATTATTTACCTTACATGTGCCTGGTTTTAACAAATGTTTTAGAGATTTGGCCATGATCTCTTAGAAAAGGATCCCTTCACATTTGTACAGGTGATTTTATCAAATATATATGCACTAAATACCCTAATCATGAGGACTATAAAAATCATTAAGAGCTTTTGCTCAACTTTCAATTAATACATTATAATACTTTTTCAAACCACAAGAAGGGATAAATAATTTAGTGCTAACAAAACTAACAAGTAACTTATTATAACCTGTTGAACCTTCTTCATGAAATCTCCAATTACAAAAGTTAAGTTGCTATCACCGTTAATTCTAGACAAGCTTAAATCTCATTCCCCTTAACATTTTAAAAAAAACATTTGATCTTATACAATTGATTGAGGTAACTTCCTCTTTTAACATGCTTAATTATATTTCAAACGATGTCTTCCAATGCCATTATTCTCTTTACAATAGTTATTACCATTTGGCAATCACAAATTATCAACATACCTTATATCAGTTTTACTCATATAAGAATATTTACTAAGAAGTTTCTTAATTGCTTAGCCTCAATATTAGCCAACTTCAAAGTAATAAATTTTGGCTCACATAATATTTTATTTGACTATCACTAAATTTTTTTTATCTGAATATAAAATTTAGTTAACACATTGTATTATTTTAATACAATGGGAATCCATTGTACATGATACTAAGATTTATGGTATCCCTCAAACACTTATTTGCCTCATCCTCTTATGAAACTATACTTGATATGCTTGATCATCACACAATATATCTCATGGGATTAAAAAGGATTAATGCAACAAGCTCTCAAAAAATTGTTCATACATACATACACAGAGAAATAAAATCATATCGTTTTCTTAAGATTGTTGGCAATAGCGAGTAAAATCATAGTTTGAGTTGTGCTAAATGACACTGTTCTTAAGAATTATTCAGTCGCATAAGGTTGATTAGCGGTAACTTCTCAGAATTAAACAGACTCTTTCTGCAAAAAAAAAGGGGTACAAAACAATGAAAATTTCTAGAACATAAACTCAAGTAATACCAAAACTAATGAAACAATGTAATGGAGGAGAAGAAAAAGCCCATAAAGAAGGCTTTGCCAAAATATGTGGCAAGCTCTAACTTTTATATGTAGATATCTCAAAATTGGCAATAAAACATAGTACACATAATAAACAATTCATATAATAATGAGGGGTTTAATATATCGGTTACAGCATAAATTGATTTAAATAGTAACTAATATTATTAATTTATAATAATTTTTTTAAAATACTCATAAATATTTTATAATTTCTAATAGAGGGAGGATCGTGAGGATCGTGACAACAATGGAATGAATGAGAGAGAAAGAGAGAGACAAAAAAAAAGTTTGACTTGCAAAATAAATTTTTTCAGAGACAAGAGATATAAAAAAAGTAAAAAACTTTACATCAAGTCCCATATTTTAAACTCTACATCTCCGAAGTCCAAAAATAAGTCATCTAACTAAATAATCCACACGACTTACGCGGCTCTATTAACAATAAATTGACTCTAGAGCCACAAAATTCAGATTGGCTTAGTGGAACTCTATTCTATAATATATTGATAAGGTTGGTATAAGTAACAAAAGTTGTTGTCTCTTCAGCAAGTAATTAGATATTTAATTTTTAATCTTATGTATGGATCAAATATAGGTAAAAGGGGTTTGCATTTTCCCTTCTAAGACCTTAAAAAAAATTATCATGTATATAGATTGGTGGTGGTTACAAAATTTTATTACATTAGTTATTACTTGTGACATGGCTAAGGTGCACAATAAAATAATTAGATATAACATAGTTGGTCTTTGTTAGTATAGCTTATGAACTTGTCAATTGGCTAAATTAACAATTGCTGATTTCATTGTTTTCTGGTCCAAAACAATAGAATTAGCTATAGCTTTATAGTTAAATTGAAATAAATAACTAGATAAATAGTCACTCTCCCTAAATCTTTTGTCATGTATGGTTCTAAATTGGATGCCATTTTCACACAGAGTTAATGGCTGTAGAACTTCAATAAGAGGATGGAATAGCCAAAAAAAAGAGTAAATGCCTTTCTATGGATTTGATTAGACAGTTCTTGCTTGTCTAGCCTCTTAATTCTAGAGAAGATGCCATTATTTGTTGGAGGTCTCTAAGCAAAGTAATTTTTTTCATGAAATATGCCTATAAGGTCTTTTAAAATAAAAATAGAAGCCTCTCCTTCAAGGCTTAGTCTAAAATCTTGAAATAGTTTATACATAAAAAGATCAAAGTATTCTTTTAGAAATTCACTTGGGACTGTCTCTAAAGAAAATTTGTTAACATTGAAGGAAATGACACTTGTTAGAAAACTTGTCCATTTGGTTGCAGTTCTCTCTATACTTCTCTCTACACTCTTAGGGATTACCTCGAAGTTTGGGCAAGTGTAGCTTAAGTTAGTAAACATAAAGGTTGGAGTAGGGATTCCTAACATGAGAAAAATCAATTGGGCAGAGACTATTATTTGCCCATGTTTGACGGAACATATGAAAATCTAGACATAGAAATCTCTACAATGATGGAAACATTACTGAATGAGACATTTCTTTTATCAAAACCTAAAATATTATTTAAGACCTCAATCTACAAAGCAAGGATGAACAACTTGGCTCCTAGACATAGGAGCACACATTCTCAATGGTTTTTACCAAAGCTTGGTTGGGTTAGATTTGATGTTAATGGTTCAATTGATCATAATAATAAGATTGTGGCATGTGGTCAACTCATTAGAGATGCTTGGGAAAGTTAAATAAGAGATTTCACCAAATATTTGAGATATCATCCCAACATTGCACCTAAATTTTTGGCCATTTTTAAATGCCCTTAATCTTTATTGGGAGGTAAAGCGTTATCAAAGTCAATATTTATTGCAACTCCATAGATGCAATCAGTCTCATATAGAAAGAACGCTCTCCTGAATCATCCTCTTATGAGCATTATCAATAAGATTAGGAACCTTATTATGCAAGAGTTGATTATTGTCACAATCCACCATACTTTTAGAAAGTTGACACTTGTGCTAATGAGTTTGCTCACCAAGTGAGCTCTGATAGTTTTCATATTAGAATTATTAATGTTCCTCTTGTTAAGTGTAGGGTTCTTTTGTGCTATGACATGGCTTAATCTTATTCTTGTTTATGCACCTTGATTCGTGGCCATGTTATTTCAAACAAAAAACATTTAAAACATATAACTCAAAATAATTATACGGGGTCTAAATTTTATTCTTAACTAATAAGTTGTTCTATTGGTCTTGTTGGTCACAACAATCTTTGTTGGGACCAAAGAAACACTCCAAATAATGTCCATCAAAATTTGATTAGAAATGTCTCATATTTAAAGTTTGGAAGAAGACATATTTGACTTGTATATTCGCTACAAAGCACGCTAAAATTAAAACAAAATTTAAGATTAATCAACCTAATCAGTGATTTTGTTGGAAGCCAAGCCTATATAAATGTTATGATCCCTCCCTCCCTCTCACACAAAGCTTAATTTTCGACGATGTGTTTTCTACTATGTTTGTTACTTCTTTGTTACTATTTTTATATTAACTTTGAACCCAATCCACCTAGTAGCATTCATGAATGAATTAGGGCCCATTTGAATTTCAATTTAGTATAATTAATTATAAAAAATTAATTAATATAATTAATTTTAATTATAATTAATCATGTTATAATATGATCATATTTGGATATTATTATTTTTAAAATTAATTTTAATAAAATTAAATATATTTAGATAATTTTAATCAATTTCAATTTTAAGTGTACAAATTACAATAAAAATATTATTTTTTAAAACATAAATATTAATAAAGTTGTAAATAATATTACTAAATTTCTTGAACTCTATTTAACAAATAAAATATGCATAATAGTGATTCATTTAGTATTTATATAATTATTTAAAATATAATTACATAATGATTAATTAGAATTTTAAATTATATCATATTAAAAACTTAATAATTTATGTGAAAAATTAATAATTAATAAATCAATATGCATTGGGCAAGTGGAGGAGACAAATGGAACATCCAATGAGACACAATGCACAAGCACATGAAAGAGGGTACATATATCACACGTGAGAAAGGTACATGCGACAAGTAAAAATTCTAACATTCAATTGATGCAAGTAGCAGTAATAATCGAAATCGACAAGCATCTCCACACAAACCAAAATGAAATTTTAGGTGCATAATCAATTTCTTGTGGGAAAAAAGTGTTTGGATGTTTTTCCCCAAACCCATGGTTTAAGAAGGTAGAATCAATTAACATAGCTAATTCAAACAGGCAATTAGTATTTTACAACCTTAATTCTCAGTACAACGTACTCGAAAGGCCTCTAGTTGAATGATTATAAGACAATGGAGCAGATATCCAAGAATTGATCGCTATATAAGCGGAACTGAAACTGTTACATATAAACCATAAATGTCACTAAGGCACATTCTCAATCATATGACAAAATTCTCAACTTGCACTGAATCATATGTCTGCCAATGATGAAAAACTGCAGGAAACCAGGAATCCGCCGATTCTTCCAAAGCTCTAGCAATTGCTTCAGCTCGAATCTCTTCTTCCAACCGGTCTGAGTGCTTGACTCAGATAAGTTAATTGCTTCAGCAACACAATCATCGGTCACACAGCTCATTTCTCGTGTCTCCCCATTGGACAAAACAAAGATTTGTCCATTCACAGTCCCAAGATTGTTCTCATTCGTTTGCAATTTTTGACCTATTTTCAGAAATCTCACTGTTATTCAAAGATAAAGAACCTTCCCCAGCCAAGGGGCCCTTTTCATTTTGATCATTAACTGACATTCCATCGTAATTTTTCTTGGTTTCTGCAGCCAGCGTTCTAGAATCCATGATCAGCAAACACGACTCACTGGATTGTAGTTCTGTTGATTTTCTATTTTCGAAAATATCGCTGCTATCCAGAGACAGAGAACGTTCCACAACCAACATACCTTTTTCATTTTGACAAGCAAGTGACATTCCATCATTAAAATTTCTCATGGCTTCAACCATTGGTCTGGATTCCATGGTCTGGACACAAGGCTCATTGGATAGCAATTCTGTCGACCTTTTGTCTGCAAAAATGGAATTATTATTAAGAGACAAAGAATCTCCCCCAGCCAACAGAACCTTTTCATTTTGATAGTTGATAGACATTCTATTGTCAATATTTTGCACGGCTTCTGCAGCCAACGACATCGATTCCATGATCTGGAAAGAAGATTCATTGGATGGCAATTCTGTTGAATTTCCATTTCCAAAAGCCTTATCGCTATTCAATGACAGAGAATCATCCCCAGTCAGAATCTCCTTTTCATTTTGATAATCAACTAACATTCCATCATCAAAATTTTTCATGGCGCTTGCAGCCAATAGCCTGGATTTCATGGTCTGGATACAGGAATCATTGGATTGCATTTCCACTGACTCTCCGTTTTCACTATTCACAGACAACAAAACTTCCCCACACGATATGCCATTCTCATTTTGATAATCAACTGACACTCCATTGTCAAAATTAACAGCTTTTGCAGCTAATGTTCTAGATCCCATGGTCTGGACACGAGAGTCATCATTTACATTTGTGTGCGACTCTACCTTTGCTCCCACATGGGCTGCACTTTCAATATGATTACGACCCTTCTTGTCTCCTGATTGTTTCTTTCTTGGCGGTTTCCTTTTAAATCGTGTTCTCTTGGTTTTAGGGACTTTTGAAGTCTCATCAACCTTGCCAATTGGTTCTGCTCCCCTTTTCTTGCATGGAACAACTGTGAATTTTGAGGGGCCAAATTGCTTTTCAGAAGAATGGGATGCACTGGATTCAATAGCTAATAAAGCTGTTCTGGCAGCTTTTATCTCTGCTTCTTTCTTTGTTCTTGCTGATGCCCCAATATATCGAATTCCCCCTATCTCAACTGTGCATGAATATGATGACAATCGCCCTGGTTTTTCATCCTTTTTGCATAGATACAAGGGCATTGCATAATTCATTTTCTGAGCATATTCCTGGAGTAAATTCTTGCATAATCCTGTTTCAATCTGGAACGAACACCATTAACAAGGTTACAAGCAGCAACTAGTATAACCAATACAGCTGAAACAGGGTAGAATGCAAAACTAAGTTTAGATAATGCAATGGAAACATCACCTTTCTTGTAAAGAAATAATAAAGCAACCAGGAACAAATTGGAGCTACATGCAACAGTCTTACATCAAATACACAAGCCTACAACTTACTAAGTTTTCAGTGAAAAACTCCAGTGGAAGCTGCAACAGAATCAACAAATATCAAGCACCAAAAAGGGCTAGTGATACAAGGCAACATTTATGATGAAGTTTAAACTCATGTATATATTGTATGCTAAAGAGCTTAGCACAACCTTATATATCTAATCCAGATGAGTTCAGTGCCTATGATCTATGCTCTGCAGCCATCAATGAACAAATAATATTGTAGATTATAATAGTGATGGGCAACACATATGCAACAAGTCAACAACGAAGCTTTGAAAAGTCAAAAACAATGGGGATGGTCATATGGACCAAAAAAAAAAAAGGTTTTAAGTCGATCAAATATTTAATATCTCATGTTAAGTGCTACTTGAAATGCAAAGTGCTCCATTGACGAGTGAGAAAATATAAAATGACTTTAACTTTGACAGAGTAAATATAATTTCACATACTTCAACAGGCAATGCACCAGCACTTGCATAAAATCTAGAATTTCAGAACATAACTTTCTATACAATAAGGAGGGCTAACAGGTAAGACAATTGTGCAAGGAATAGTAAAGCATTTGGCACATCATTATCTTACATTGTATAAGGTACTAAGATACGATGATTTTCAAGATTCTTGGATTTGGTATGTCAATTGAAAGTTATCAAAGAAAGAACAAGTTTTTTGAAAGGTATTGTATGCTTCTATAATAGATGGATTCTACACCTTCGACTATCCTGGATGACAATTGACAAAAGTTGGCATCTAACTTGGGTAAATAAAATGCCTACATGCTCCTGACAATGTAACAACCACGTACAAGTTGTGATTAAAAAGAAGAACCTTCTCTGGACTTACAAATCAGGTAGAGAACAAAAGACTACTTGGAATATATTAACAATGAAGAACAAGAACTTTTCGTTCCTATATAATAAAGATAACTTACAACAGGTTGTGTGATGGATTGATTAACTTCATCAGATTTTGCCAGCTCCACAAGAGCAATCTCTGCAGCTGACTGCTCTGCTGCCTTACGATTGAAGAATCCAGGCAAAGAATCATATCTTACATTATTGAGTATGACTGTAGATCTGAAAGAAGGCTGATGTGAAGGTCCTTCCTTGATGGTTTCATAGACGGGTGTGGGAAGTCCCACTTTCTGTGCATATTCTTGCAATCGGCTCTTGAAAACATAACAATTTGAAACACCTGGCAAAAATCAAGAAGAGAAATAGATAAGAAGCATCAATCAAAATCTCAACCTGCATGTGCCATTTTTAAGTACAGCCAATTTTGTAAATCTTTCAGTTGTCTATTAAGCAATATTATGAAGAAAGGGGGGCACACTGACTACCCAAAGAAAGTTCTATTTTTCCCCATTCGCAAAATAATTAGCACCTCAGAAGAAACCCTTTTTTTTAATAATATAAAGTTTATGTGATTTAGAGAAGAAACCTATTTGGTAGCCACTTATTCTTTTTCATATAATCAATTTTGGTCCTGAAAACTACATCAAGTATGCACAAAAGGTGATGGGAAGACTACATATCATTCTAGATCAAATCTTCTCATATGTATTAAAAAGAAATATCTAACTGGTACAACAGGGTACTTGGCTGACAAAAAAATAATAATAATAAGAGTCTGCAATCTACACGTGATTGTAAGGATATCAAAAGTGAAGTTACAAAAAATTGTTAACTTTTACGGCATGTTTCTCTGAGATTGCACGGATACTACTTGCTTAAAGCAATTATACATCAAGGGGGGAAAAACGAAGTTCACACTAGGTTCACCAATCAATAACGACCATACTCACGCATCTTAGATTTAGTCTCACAATTTACAGTGACAGGGAGTCAATCACACATTATCACTGAGATCCTTCAAACCTGAGGAGATGTATCTCTTACAAACAGAGCATTTAGCCCCTATTAGTTTAATTAATTGATGGTGCTACTAATATTCACTTTGGTGTTGGGAGTTAACATGTGGGTTTCAAAGTGTACAAGTGCCAAAATGTTAAGATAATCTTTTCCTTCTTCTATTTCACCAATAAACTTCAATTACACACAGGCAGTTTTGTATGCAATTCCATGACATTCATTTGAATCATACGAGTTACCACCTGAAAAACTGGAACGCCAAAATATTTCTTTACAATCATAATCATGTAATTAATTAGCACATGGGGCTTAAATAACTCCAAACACCACAACAGCAAGGGAGGCCATGCTTACAGAAATTAAGCCCAAGCACTTCTAAAAAGTCCAACATAAAACAAGTTAGTGAGTAACTATAATAGTGAGCTTAGAGACCTTCACGAAGAGATGCTAAGAGGACAACTCAACAGATTGAAAGTGCAACACGAAATAAGTTAATATATATCTATTATAACGAGGGTTTAAAGACCTTCATAAAAAGATGCCAATAGGAAAACCATGCATCCAAAAATCAGCCGAAGCTACAGGAGTGCAAAAATAAAAGTCCTGTCAGTTGCTTACTTCACACAATTCTGCGCGTAGAAGTCTTGAACTATGTTGAAAGCCTGAAGCAGACTTTTAAGCCAGGCGACAAGATGCTCAAACTCTCGGCCAAGGGGAAAAAAAAAAAAACACAAACACACACACACAAACTCCGGCACGGAAGAAAAATCCGAGTTGAATTTCTTTTCCCGACAAAAGAAAAGACTACGAAAATCTAAATTCAAGAGAATCGGACAACGAAATTGAAATAAAGGGCAAGATTAAACTGATGATTGATAAGGATGTCGAAGACCTAAATGCCGTTATTGTCAATCACTCAATGTTTGTTTGAGTCACCGTCACCGTCACCTTAATTCGAAATAATATTTTTTCCTACTTATAAAAGGTAAATCATTTGTTCGAAGGAAACCAAAATCAGGGCGATAAATACTCCCGAAGGAAACAAAGAGAAAAAGCAAACGCGGGCAGAGAGAGAACGAAAAATACATTGTACCAGTATCACTCGGTAAATCAAGCATAAATAGTTCATCTCACTCGAAATGCAAAGATATTAAAAGAAAAATAATTAAGGGAGATAAATTTACAGCACGGAATAGCCAATACCGTGAGTTCTCACGATATAAAGCTATGTTCAAACCCCGGAGAAAATTAAAAAGAATACCTTGATAGTCTTCGTTGGTGAGCATAGCCCCAGTCAGGTCCAGAAGAAACCGCTAGAGGGCTCCGAGGGAGACGCGAAGATGATGGGCACAAGTCTTCGCGTCTGGGACTACTGGGAACTGAGAAGAGAAGATAGCGGTTATATAAGAATACGGAAATTGAGAGTAGAGAGTGGTAGTTGTGGTTGACAACTAAGGAACTGTTACACAAACAGACACACACACACACACGAGAGGCTGAAGGAACAAGGTCGAAAGCCAAGCAAGAAGCAGCTGTGCTTGGTGCTTCTCCTGCTGGATTCTGTTGCCGCTCTGATTCTTCGCGAGTGGAGTGCCTTTCTTGGATACGTCGTGAGCCCAACAATGGGCCATGAATTAGGGCCGTAGGATGATGGATTCGTTGGTCATCTGGCGGCGGATCAACGAATCCGATCCCTCCCGTGCGTTTGGTGCAGTGCCTCGGAAATGCGCTAAAATTGAACGTTCGATTGATCTTATGGACCTGATTCATGGCCCTCAGAAAACTGATTATATTTTTAAATATATTTTTAATTTTAATTTAATAATATAATACTTTCTCGTGTCATTAATATAAAACGAAAATTAAAAGCTTTTTTAGTTTTAAATATGAGACAAAACCAAAATAGTTAATGTTTTTTCAATTTTACCTTTTTCTTTTTTTTAGAATTTCTAAAAGATAATTTATTATAATTATTAATTATAAAAAAATAAAATTTAGAAAGTTATATATTTTTATGATTTTAAAACTATAAAGTCTTTCTTTTTTGGGAGGATTATATTGAAGCCTCATATAATAAAATTAATTATTATAAAATTTATTGACAATTGAATTAAACTGTATTGATAACATAATTAATTGTCAATGTAATTTAATTCATTTATTAAATAATTTTATAATAATTAATTTTTTATGTGAAACTTAATTATAATTTATTTTTTCATTAGACATGGCTAGCTAAGCGCAAGAAAATAGAACTGAGAACAAAACAGTTTAAAGGCAGTGGGACATGTCCCCACATTTGTCTGATAGAATATTTCTGACTTCGGTTTAAGGGAAAATGACAATTAAATTTAAAAGAGTAATTTAATTAAAAATAAGTTTTAAAATATTCAGAAATGACATTAAAATTCCAATTCCAAATATTTTTAAAGCAAAATATGGTCCGAATGAAATGACTTGAATTTTTTTTGTTACACTTCTATTTCCAGCTCTCTCCCACTTGCCCAATTTTCATCATCTTGTCTCATGTCATGTCCCTCCACTGTCCTATCTGTCTCTCTACAGTTCTAGCTACAATTGATAAAATTTGGATTGATTCATATTTAATTTAAATAGATTAGATTTAAAGTTTTATTTTTTTTATTTTTTATTTTTATTTAATATTTATTAAAATAAAAGTATATAAAAATTTAATTTTCTTATTAATTTTTATCATTAACTTAAATTGTACAGATTTAATTTAAATAGTTCAATTTAATATTAAAATTTTTTATAATTGTTATAATTTAATTTTATGATTTTTTTCACCAACAACTATACAAATGAACTGCGTACGTCCAAGATTTGATATTGAAATTTTTATATTTTTTATTTAAATAAATATAATATTACAAATAAAGATAATGTCATAACTGAAATTTTAAAATATATTGTTTAAATTTATAGGCTAAAAATTTAAAATCTAAACGGTTTAAGATAAATTTGAATATTCATTTTATAAAAATATACAACAATGTTAATATCAAATTTGGATGGATTAAATTTGAGCGATCTAGATTAATAATAAACGGTAATCAAGTTGATTTAACAATAAATTTTATATTGTTTATAAATTTTTATTTTAGTAGATAGAAAATACAAATAAAAAATAAAAATTTTAAAACCCGACAATCTAAACTTGGTCAGGTACTAACCACCATCCGTGAGGATGAGCTCCCTAGCGAAACCCATAATTGATCACGCATGCATGGAGGGTAAATTGGCTTTGGAATCGGAGAAAAATGACAAGAGTGAGTAAAAGGGAGAGGTGGGGGAGGGAAATGCGTCAGCTTTCAAGTCATTTCAATTTCAAATGATTTTTAAAATATTAAAAAGTTTACTTAAATTTCAAAATTTAAAATGTGTTAGAACTTAAGTCTTATTTGATATATTAGAATTTCGCCCTTAGAATTTAAAACGGAGATGAAATAAAAAAAAAAAGTTAGCTTGATGTGTTAGAAATTAATTTTATATAGAACTCAATTCCACCAAAAATGATGAAATTGAATTTCATCACAAATACTCAATTTTTAAATTCCATCGTTCATTTTACATTTTTTACTGCTTCCACTATCTCTCTGGTCAACCTTTCGTCAACTTTCTCAGCACTTAGCAACCAATGTTAGTGACCTTCTCGACAACAGAAACCTTCAACAACCTTCAGCACCTAGCAATAGTGACCTTCAACTTTGAATAACGACTGGGAGCAACCTCAATTAGTGCAGAAAATTGATGACAATTCTTCCTCTTCCTCTTCCAATAATAGCAACCTTCGATTGAGATTCAGAATAGAAGGGAGATCGAGAGAGAAATTGCTTTTGATTTGGGCATTCTCTCCCTTTTAGTCTTCCAAGATCAAAAGCATTGTGGGCGCACAAAGAGAAAGAGGAGGAGAGTTGTTTGCTAAATTTGGTTCTTTCTCTCTATCTTTATTTTTGATTTCTTGATTATTGAGAAGTGAATTTGGATCTCCCTTACAATCTTCATCTTCAAATTCTTGATTGTTGCGTAGCGAAGGTGTTGAATTTGATCTCCCCCTCTCAATATTTGTCTTTGATTTTTTTATCGTTAAGTCTAGATTCTTATTGATTGTTCTCTAATAGTGGTTCTTTTAATGGCAACATGAATAAAGGTGGCTATATTGGTCCACAGTTTTTTTGAGTAAGGATATTTTGATTTTTTAATATTATAAACATATATTTTTGATGAAAATTATATGAGGATTCCATGATCACACTAAGCATATTTTTAAACCTCATATTCATTTTCACTTTCATATTCATTTTCATTTTTATGCCCATCTTTATTCCCACCATGCCAAATGAGACATTAGGTTATTTGGGACTTTACTATCACTCCTTCAACTTTTTTTCTACCTGGAAATGTATGCCATGACAGAACTAAGACTTGAGTCAGTAGGTGCAGGATAATTTAATTTAAAAAATAATAATTTAAACAATTAAAAATAATGATTGCATTTGGACTAAAATTGTGATAATATAAGTAGACACATCATCATTTTTCTTTTTTATAATTATATTGAATATGTTGATATAATCTTTTATGTAAATATCTTTTTCATATCTTATTTTAATCATTAAAATATTACACATTTAATAATTTTTTTCAAAATATTTGTATTTAATTTAAAGGGTGCAAACTTGTAAACTTTACACACCTTACTTATAATTTTTTTTTTCTAAAGTGAAGGGGTGCATTTACTTACCCTTACAACCAAGTTGCTGTGCCAATCATATGAGTTTACAATTTATCATCTTAACTTTTTGTCTAAAATATAATACCTTTAAAATATATTTCCTTTATTCCAAATAATAAAATATTTTTGGAAATATTTGATGTCCAACATATGACACATTTTGAAAAAAATAATTTTTTATTAATGATATTTGTTTAAATATATATTTTCATAATATTTTTTTTTCTTTAATATTCTTTGACAGATGGGGTATCCAATAAAGATATTGTTGGAAGTTATATTTTTTTTTGAAAAAAATAAAGAAAAATATAGCTATCGGTCCAAATAATTTTATCATATTTTGTTTTTAGTTTCTATATATTTTTTAATAATCCATGTCCCTCTTGTTTTTCTTGCATACAATGTCAGTCCTCCTATTTTTAAATGTGTCCAAAGAGACAATGATGTCACACTAATAAAAATGATAAATTATCAGATGTGTAAATAACAATGCTAATGAAATTGCTAATATATTTAAAACAGGATAAGTTGGCAATTTGAATTAGCATAAGGTGACAATGTCTTTTTAACCAACCTCGTTAATGGTTTCCAATTATAGTGGGTTAAGTCTTATATCTTATGCATCAAATGCTTAAGTTAACATTGTTAGTGCTACACCATCTTCTCTCTAAACATATTTAAAAATAGAAGAATTCAAGCTGTATATAGAAAAAGTTACAAGAAAATCAAATATTTTAAAAAAGGAACCAATAAGAAGCCATGATAAAATTATAGAAATCAATACTTATATTTTAAAAAAATAAAATTCTAAAATATATTTAGCATATTTTATTGATACATTTCATTTAATTTAAAAGTATCATAAGTTGTGATTAAATTAACGTTATAGCCATATAAGTTTACTTGAACTAGAGGTGAAAATATGTTAAGTCAAGCCAAGCTTTAAATCAAAAGCTTGAGTCTGACCTAAAGTCTGGATAAGGTATTTTTTACAGCTCAAACCCGATCTTACCTAAAGTCTGATCTGGCCTAAAAGCCTACTTAAAAGTAAACCTTTTAAATATGATCGCACTTTAGTTTTAAACATCTCAAATGTACTTTAAAACCATTATAGTATGCAATATATAACTTAATTTATTAATTATAATATATAATAATTTAAAGGACTTACCAACTATAATACAATATAATAATAAAGTAATAATATTAAAATTAATATATAAGTCCAACATGATTGAAAATATAATTAAAAATAAAAAATAAATTAATTAAAAATTAAATTATAAAGCTAATGTATTTTTGATATATTGTATTATGTATGTGTGTAATATATGCCAATTTTTTGGGCTCATACCTTATATATTGAAAAAATAAGTCTAACTTATTTAGTTTAATATACTTAATTAAAAATTTAATGTTTAATGAATAGGTCAAGTTGAAGTCGGGCAGGGAGAGCCTATGGCCTGAAGCAGGCCAGCGCCTATTCCCCCTCCTAGCTTCAACAGCTGGTTCATTGGATCGACTCATGAAAACCCTCTTCCTCCCACATCACGCGCAAACGTCGTCGGCCGCTTGTCGCTCGTCCACTTCTGCTCTTCCTCCTTGCATCGCCGCTTGTCGCTCACTCTCTTCCTCACATCGTCAGTCGCCGCTTTCTCATCTTCCTCACATCGCCTTCTCTGCGAATCGCCCTCTTTCCCGCACCGCTGCTGCTCCGTTCGCGTTCTAGATCATTCCCAATGTCGCTGTTGCGTTGCATTCGTAGTCGAAGATCATAATCAGCCTCAGACTCACCGTCTCCCAGCCTCTTGAGTCTTGACGCTCGCCGCCACTGCTTAGCTTGTCTTTCCGGCTTTCACATTTGTGGCTCAGGTAAGTGATTTGTTTTGTTGTGTCTTGGACCAAGTTATGTATGCAGTCGTAGGCACTCGTGTTTGGAAAGGCAGTGTTATTTGCGGATCTCCTTCCACTAGAAACCTTGGATGATCTGCCTTTTGTTTTTATTGAAGGCTGGGTAGTTTTTAGTTTTGTTGTTGCTTTGTGTTTCCTTGTTTATCAACGGATGTTTTTTATTTAGAGTGATAACCTCTACTTATGAAGTGAGAAATAGATGTACCCATCTCAAATCTTATTTATCATTTAGATTTCTCTCAAACTGATACATCTTTCTTTGCAAGTTACAACAACTTTTACATACTCATCTAAGATACTTATTGTGGGGGGTGGGGGAAAGAGGTGGAAATCGAAGAAATTGTTGGTCCTATTTGAGAAGATGAGCAAAAAGTATAGATTACTTAGATTAGATATAAACAACTCAAATTGTATACCCACCTCAGGCAAAACGCATCGGGTTCTTATTGGAGAATTGAGAGTGGAAGATAGTTAAACTAATCAAGGACTATCATATTACAAATTGAGTTGGGGAAGTGGCCGGACTATCCACCTTTACGGCTTTACCCAGTGGAGGCGATAGGAAACTAGTGGATTAGAGTGTATTGGAGGGCGAAATTTTTGGCCTCCAAGGTTCGGATACTATCCACCTAAATCTTTCTTTTCATGCAACCTTTCAATGATGCGATTACAGTTGTTCTCACTGGGTATTACATTGCGTGAAGCAAAGATTTTTGTTTTAGTGTGGACAATTTGCTGATGTTCGGCTGTGCCAACCTGATATGCTTCTTTGCAAATATTTTTTCAATCCGTGAAAATGCGGATAATATTTTATTTCTGTGTCAATCCATGCGGATATGTTAATGTTCAACTAAGCAAATAAATTTTCAATGATTTCTACTTCTTCTGGGCTAATCTGGTACAAATGCCTCTTTATCAACCTATTATTATTCGTCTTGGGTAGTTCAAAATTTGCTCCCTCTCCTTTCCTCTACACAGCCCTCCTGACACCCTTGGCAGGAAACATCTCTCTCTCTTATTTGAACGAAGTGATCTTCCCTATCTGCTTCACTTTTGTCTCCTTTGTGCAACCAAGTGTGCGAGCATGTGGAAGGAGGCTGGTTTCTTTTTCCTGTGCCAAAATTTTGCATGACCGAATGGTCCTCAATGATCCTACTGTATTGCTGAGTCTAGTTTTTCTTGACTTTGTTGTCCTCTACCTTTTATGGAATTAGTCACGGATGTTTTGAAGTTATACAGTACATCAAAAGATCCTACAACAACAACAACAACAAGCCTTTATCCCATTAGGTGGGGTCGGCTACATGGATTGCAAGACGCCATTGTGCTCTATCATCTATTAAGCTTTTAGAAATATTATTAATTAAGAGATCGCGTTCAACAACTTCCAAGAGTGTTCTCTTAGGCCTTCCTCTACCTCTTTTAATTGGACTTAAAGTTATATGTTCCACTCTTCTCACTGGTGCCTCCCTTGGTCTTCTTTGTACATGCCCAAACCATCTCAACCGATTTTCTACCATTTTTTCCTCAATAGGTGCCACCCTTACTTTTTCGCGTATGTGCTCATTTCGAATTTTATCTTTACGTGTATGTCCGCACATCCATCGTAACATTCTCATCTCTGCTACTCCAACTTTATGCTCTTGCTGTCCCGTTAGAGCCCAGCATTCACTACTATATAACATTGCCGGTCTGATAGCAGTACGATAAAACTTTCCTTTAAGTTTATTAGGCACCTTACGGTCACAAATAACTCCTTTAGCTTTTCTCCAATTAAACCACCCAACTTGAATTCTATGTGAAATATCTCCACTGATTTCGCCATCATTTTGAATAATGGCTCCCAAATATCTAAACTTTTCCACTTGAGGTATAATTTGATCTCCCAATTTCACTTCCAAATTATTTTCGAATAGTCCTTTACCAAATTTACAATATAAATATTCCGTCTTACTTCTACTCAGACGAAAACCTTTCGACTCCAATGTCCTCCTCCATAACTCAAATTTGCAATTAACCTCTTCTCTTGTCTCTGCTATAAGAACTATATCATCCGCGAAGAGCATACATTTCGGGATTTCCTCTTGAATATGTTCCGTCAAAACATTTAAAATCAAGTTAAACAAATAAGGACTCAGAGATGATCCCTGATGTAGTCCAATCTTTATAGGAAAATCCTTTGTTTGACCACTAGGCGTTCTTATACTAGTTTTTACCCCCTCATACATATCTTGTATGGCTTTAATATAAGCAATCCGTACTTCCTTTTTTTCCAACGCTTTCCAAAGCACTTCTCTTGGTATACGGTCATAAGCTTTTTCCAAATCAATAAAAACATGTGTAGATCTTTATCTTTACAACGATACTTTTCCATTAATCCCCTTAGTAGATAAATTGCCTCTGTAGTTGATCTACCTGGCATAAAACCAAATTGATTCTCAGAAATACTTGTCTCCAATCTCAACCTGTGCTCAATTACTTTCTCCCACAATTTCATTGTGTGGCTCATGAGTTTAATCCCTCTATAGTTAGTACAATTCTGAATATCTCCTTTATTTTTATAAATAGGAATTAATGTACTTCTCCTCCACTCATCAGGCATTTTCTTGGACCGTAAAATCATATTAAATAACTTAGTTAACCATCTCACCCCTTCTTCACCTAAACATTTCCACGCTTCGATAGATATACAATCAGGTCCGTTGGCTCTACCATTTGCCATTTTCTTAAGAGCTTCCTTTACCTCCTTATCACGTATTTTTCGATAGAATGACAAATTTTGTTCTCCTTCACCAGTTACTAAATCCTCCAAGTTACTAGATGAATCCTCTCCATCATTGAAAAGTTTAGAAAAATAAGTCTCCCATCTATTTTTAATTTCATCATCTGTAACTAAAATTCTTCCCTCTTCATCCTTAATACACCTTACCTGTTCTAGATCTCTTGATTTTCTTTCCCTACTCTTGGCAATCTTATAAATATTTTGCTCTCCTTCCTTCGTCTCAAGGTTCTTATAAAATTATTCAAAAGCTTTAGAACGAGCTTCACCCACAGCTCTCTTAGTTTCCTTCTTAGCCATACGGTACCTTCCCAATTTTCCTCATTGTTACACAAATGTATGGCTTTAAAACAGTTCTTCTTATACTTGATTTTGTCCTGTACACTATTATTCCACCACCAAGACTCCTTATCTCTCGGACCAGAACCTTTCGATTCTCCCAAAACTACTTTTGCAACCTCCCCTATCTTTTTAGCCATATCCTCCCATATAATGTTAGCACTTCCCTGAGAATCCCAAATTCCTTTATCCAAAAGATTTCGCTTGAAAATATCTTGCTTCTCACCTTTTAATTGCCACCACCTAATCCTTGGTGTTACTACTTGTCGACGTTTTTGGATTTTACTCATAATACACACATCAAGGACTAGGACCCTATGTTGTGTCGTTACAGCATCTCCGGGTATCACCTTACAATTTTTACAAAGTTTTCTATCTGTGTTCCTAACCAAAAGAAAATCAATCTGCGACCTTGAGGCTCCACTTTTGTAAGTGATGAGATGCTCATCTCTCTTCTTGAAACAAGTGTTGGCAATCTTAAAATCATACGCCAATGAGAAATCAAGAAGAGTTTGTCCTTCATTGTTTAGCTCTCCAAAACCAAAACCACCATGCACCCTCGCATACTGACCAGCTTCCCTCCCGACATGCCCATTAAAGTCTCCTCCAATAAAAATCTTTTCACTCTGTGGTATGTGTCGAATCAACCCCTCTAGATCCTCCCAAAATAATTCCTTAAGACTGGCTTCTGTCCCGACTTGCGGCGCATAAGCGCTAACAATATTAACAGTCTCACGTCCAATTATCATTTTTAAAGAAATAATTCTGTCTCCAATTCTGCTAACTTCTACAACGTTCTTCTTCCACTCCTTATCTATAATGATGCCTACTCCATTGCGTGCACTTACTTTTCCTGTATACCAAAGTTTGAAACCTTGAATATCCTTAGCTTCTTCTCCACGCCATTTTGTTTCTTGTAAGCAAATGATATTGATTTTCCTTAGAATCATAACCCCTACAACCTCTACAGATTTACAATTTAATGTCCCAACATTCCAAGTACCAAATCTAATTTTGCTCTTATGGACTAACTTCTTTAGCCGCGTGCGTCCAGAATGACGCGGTAACCCTTGCTCATTTAACACTACATCCGGGCGCCGATGCAGCGGCTCTAACTCACTTATCACTGTACTCGAGCCATGCAGCGCGTTACTTACGGGCAACGACCTAGCATTAACATTATAACGTCTATTGTCCATGTTCATGATAGATTCAACAAATTTTTACATTGGCTGTTGATGGCCTAACACAACCCTCCTCCTTTACCCGGGCTTGGGACCGGCTATAAACATAGGCGGAGTTACATCAAAAGATCCTACAAATTCTTCATTGTTTTTCCCCTTCAATTAAATGGGTAAATACTACATTAGAGGATAAAAGAGCTGTATCATATTTGTTATGCCGTTTCAGTGCTGTTTAGGGGCACAGTTCCTGGTCTCTGCTTATCAAATATGATTGCAATAATCCATATTTTGACTTCATTATTTTTTATTCTCAGACTACATGGAGGATTCAGGGCAAAGAAAGAGACGGCTGGAAGAAATGCGCAAGCAAGCTGAGCTGAGTGAAGCACAGGTGCCATTGAAGCTTCTGGTTCTGGAACGTACTCTCCTCTCTCAAATCCTCTGATTGAGACTTCTTCAACTATGCCAGCACAGGATAAATCCTATGCTTCCCCAAGATTTGACTTCTACACAGATCCTATGGCTGCTTTCTCTTCTAACAAGAAGAAGAGCAATGTCCAGACAGCACCTGTTCATTCCACCCCTCCAACTCTGTTAGTTCACCTACGGCTCAATTTTCATCACATATGCCTCCACCGCTATGCTCAGGTACTGTTACATCCATCCATAATTAGGTACTTATAGCTAGTATCCACTTATTTGAGCTGCTTGGGGTGGATAATTGATTGTAGATTGCCTAAGATTGCTCCTTCTGTCTAGCATTAAATAGAGGAGCACACTGATCATGACTTGAAGGAACATTGAGAAAAAAATCTTTTGATATGAAAAGGTTCTCTGTCAGTGGAAGCAATAGACTACATCCATGTAAATTGAAGTGCAGCATTTTTTACTGTTCTGATATATAAGAGGTACTTTTCATAGATAAAGAGGCACTTTTCTTTTCCTTTATCTTTTTTCTCCCTTATTGTGCCACAAGAAAGGCCTCATGGCCTAGGGAGTAGGGATTTTTTTGGCTGATTCGCACACAAACACACACAAAAGGGCCGCTACCTACTATGTTTCACCCCTATCTCAAGATAGCATATAAATTCAAAAAAAGGCCTAATATTTCTAATTATTAAAAAGCTGTCAGTCAGCTTCCAGTCCCCGGTGAATTAGCAATGCATGACACTTCATGCTGAGCTAGAATGAACATCAGAACTCTCCAAATTGCACCAAAAGTGTCATTCAACTTCAAAATGTTAGCCCTGGACCAAATACACCAAGATCCACGAGCATCTTTCCCAAAAAACACCTTCATCCAAATCCGCTGTCTACCACAAATTTTGCCAGCATGGGACGAACTGAACCAAAATTTATGCTGGCTTATTTTTCATTGTAATATGCTGCATATTAATGAGTTTATTGTATTAGAAAATCATGTCATTGCTCTGATTGCCTTTCCTTTTTTCCCTCTCTGATATCTCTTGTTCACTGAACATAACAGAATCAATGAATTCACAGATGACTCACTCTTTCACTCAAGGATCGCCAGTAGTCAACAGAAACCCAATCTGGAATGGGCCCAGAGGGTCCCCTCAATATTATTTCCCGCCCCGATATCAAAGTCCTGGATTTGAAATATCAGGCAAGCCTTTTTATAATCCTGGACCGCACATAACTCATCAATCCAGGCACAGGCCCAATCTTTCTCCAGGATACAATCATAGTCCTGGTCTTAGTCCAGGAAGAGGCCGAGGTGGCTGGCACAACACTAGAAATGATGCTTCAGGGTGGGGTGGTGGACAGCGGCTGAGTTCTCGTGGTCGTTTCTCCAGTGAGGACAAGCCACATGATGTAGATCGGTTCTACAAGAAGTCTATGGTTGAGGATCCGTGGCAGCTTTTGAAGCCTGTCATATGGAATGTGACTGATGCTAGCTCAAATAGTATATGTACACCTGGGAGTTCAAAGTCCTGGGCTTCAAACTCATCAAGTGCAAATAAAGGAGGATCTTCTGCTGCCCCAGTGAAGTCCAGTTCTCAACCAAGCCTTGCCGAGTACTTGGCTGCAGCATTTAACGCAGCTGCTAACGGTACAGAAAATGTATAATGGTTGGTAGCTTCGTGAAGAGCCTGACATTATACTGATACTTAGAATGTTAAGAAGTCACCGCGTTGATGGTTGTCGAAGAGGCAGTTTACTGGAGCAAATGTTCCACATATAAAAACACTAGTTTTTTTAGTTCGTTAACCTAACAATTGTGCCTGGATTTTTAATATAAATGGTAGCGCTGTAGCTGTTGAATGCTGCAGCTATTGACTTGCCAAGGAGATGCTATGGCAAGGGAAGAGAAACGTTACTGTCTTGTGGGAAATTTAGAAAATGCTACAGGTGATTCTAAATTCAGATGGTCCCAAGTTCCAAGATCTTGTTTTGTTCGGCGGAAGACTCCACCATAGGGGATTGAGAACTTAGAAAGGATGTGATTCGCCTTGGAAGTGAATGTGCCAGTGGCAAGATAGGACTTCTCCCTTGTGGACATGCACATTGGTGTTTAGTGGTATGGAGAGTATGGGAAGTTGGGTAGTTGTGATACGATGTATGGTTGTAATATTTTGTGGCCTGGATAATGTTTCTCTGAAACTGTAACAAGAGCCGTCCCTGTGGCTCTTCCTCTTCTTCTTCTTTTTGTAAACTATATGTTTATTTTATTTTTTTTATTTTAAAAAATATTCTGTTTGGAAAAAATGATTTAATTTATAATTGAAGCCATAAAACTATAATTTAGACCTTTCAAATTGACTCATTCATAATTTAAATCATTGTCTAAAAAGTTACACATTTAATTAACTCTTAATCATCGTGATCAATAACAATATTTAAAATATGTATTGGAGCAAGTAATATGATTGTTCAATTTCATGCATTAAAATTACCCATACATTTCAATCATTCTTTGCTGTTTCTTAGAGCTTGAATTTAATTGATAGCTCGCTCTAACTATGAGATGGCTTAATCCCTTTCATATATATTTTTTTTAAAAAATTATGTACAAGTCTCGTAAAGTAAATTTATTAATAGATAAATTGTGTTAAATTTAAAAACCACATCAAATTTCTTGAGATTTGAATGTAATTCAAAATTAAAGTGTAAAAATAATAATGTTAATATTAAAAATATATTATATCAATCAAGCAATTTATAATTACTTCATGAATAATTTATAATTATCACTTTAAGTTTTCATAACTATAACTTTAACTTTTCATGTCAATTATTCAAACATTTTAACTATTAAATATATGAAGTTATAATTATAAAAAATTAAAAGGATAGTTGTAAATTAGTGATAAAATAGTTATAAATAATTAATATTAAATTGTAGTAGTAATGCATAATCAGTTTAACTATTAGATATGGGAAATTAAAGTTGTAAAAAGTTGAAGTGATTATAAATTATTGATAAAATATTTGTAAATAATTAGTATTAAACTTTTTAATAATGTATAAATTGGTTTAATTATTAAATATGTAAAGTCTTTATTGTAAAAAGTTAAAATAATAGTTGTAATTTACTGATGAAGTAGTTATAAATTACTTAATTGATATAATATATTTTTAACAAGGAAATTATTATCTTTTATTTTATAAAAAAAAAATCTACCGAAGGCTCAATAGTGTATGGAGGCTAAGAACCCCTCCTTGGCCTTTTTAGATCCATCTCTTGTTACTTTTAAGAAAACTTAAATACTTGAGATTATGTGCTTAATGTTTTTCTCTAATTAAATTAAAAATAGCAATAATAAGACTTATTTACTTAATAAAATAGCAATAAATCAATTTTGAGGACCAACCTCTTTTTAATATTTAGAAAACCCTTTAATTATACCTAAATTGCTCCTCCATGTTAAACGAACAATTTTTCTATTTTTCTTTTTTTAAAAAAACACTGATTCTTTGCACTCATACACTAATCAAGGAACCACCAAGGAGACAAAGCAATGATCAACTGTGACATATGATGTCAATGGAGGAGCAATCGGCGGTGTGAGCGAGGATATGGTCAGATGAGGTTAAAAACAACAAGGAAGTAGTGCATATTGGGTTTGAAATTTTGCAGATCTATCTCTTGTAAGAAAAATTTGTTGCAATGTAATAGAGGCATGCCACTCTAGTTCACTTTTCCCTTCTTGTGAGTTGCTTCTTCTCATCTTCACTCCGTCTGAATAATAGAGTTAGTTAATCAAAGAAATGTTGCTGGTGTTCTACATGTTTGAGGACTTGATATCATAGAAGTTATTATTTAAAGGATATACACTGTGTTTTTGTGAAAATAAAGGGTAGATGATCCTTTTGCGTCCATAATTTTCATGTTATATAACAGGTTTTCATGATTTAAAAAAAAAGATCACTTTCTTGGAAAAGAGTAGAAAAATGCTGTGACTTTCATGTATCCAACCAAATAAAGTTTGGGTGCAAGTATATAGCTTGAGATTAAAGGTGCAAGGTGTAAGGTAATGAGTTTTGGTGCAAACTTATAGGTTTGGGATGCAAAAGTATAGGTGTAATACGGTAAATGTTTACACTTATTTTTTATAAATTAATAGTTTGATAAACTATTTTAACAATTTTGAACTCTTACCATGATAGAAAAGAGTTATTTCTATAATAAAAATATTTTATAAATAGTCTACCACGATAAAAAAGGTCTATCATGATAGAAAAATTTAAACATAATTAATTTACCTTGCCATGGTAATTAAGAAAACTAGTCATTAAATACTTCAAGTGCATACCTTTGTTACAATTTCAAAACCATGGTCATATGAATAACACTTCACAAACCGTACTTTTACTATAAATACTCAACTCAAGCCTAATTATACTTTTTTAATCACTGGTTATCACCAAACAAAACTACCATATGAAGGCATAAATTTTGCTTCACAAATATCCAGGGCCTTATGGGACAGATAGAATTCTCTTAACATATAAAATACAATAATTCTTAAATAAAATCTAGATGCTCAATATATATATATATATATACACATACATATGTTTGTCTTAAGTTGTCATAATATACATATAAAAATAAAGAGGCTGAATTATAAAACGATGTCTCATATATTGAATTACGTCTTAGGTACTCCTATAGTTGAACTTTGTAAAATCTCCTCTTTCAAACATAATTAAAAACTTTTGTTAAAAAAAATATAATTAAAAACCATAACTTAAGGTAATCGAGGAATTAACCCCTAAATAATTACTAAGTTATAATTTAAAATAAAGGGATTTCAAGTTTTCGTAGACTAAAAATGAGTTAAAACCCTTCATTAGACATTTAATTAGAGTAAAATTATGTTACGAAAGCATGATATATATCAGAGGTTGAAAAGTCTCAATGTGTTGAAAACAAAGTAATGCGCCGCGGCTTGTTGCTTTTTGTGCAATGCGCCATGTTGCTTTTTGTGCAACGCGGCTTGCACAGCGGCGTGTTGCATGTTTTCATGACAACAAAATTCGAACAACTTTCAACGTGCTTCGTTTCTCTGTCCGACATTCAAATGAGATAATTTAGATGTCTGCATAAAGCTTTTTTTATAAACCAACTAATGGCACAGGTTTTGCTTTCAAAAAAAGTCACACTAGGAAGTTGGAAACCTAAATATATTTTTACCACTTTTCTTAACTTTCACAACAAAAATGGTGTCCAAAACCCAACACAAGTGTCAAAAGCCTTTCTTGACACCTAAATCATATTCATTAAACTTATGACTACTTGTACAACACACCACACGTACAAATATATTTCATATCAAAATTTCACTCCTTAACCCCTTTAATACCAAAAATAGAAGGGGGAGGCTTTGGCATTGCCTTTCAAAATAGCATTTAACAATGTAATCTAATGAATATTCTTACACTTACACTAGTATTCTTGTAACATCCCAATTTAAATTTTAATAGTTAATTTGGGTTAATAAAAATTTTAAAAAATATTTAGAGGTAAATAAATTAGTAGGAAATGATCATTAAATCTAACTTAGGATATAATTCTAAATTAAAATTTTAAAAAAAAATTAAAAAAATTAAAAAAAATTATTATTATTAATTAATTAAAAAATATTATTAAATTATTATTATAAAAAAAAGAGGTATGCAAAAAAAAAAAGAAGAGAAGAAGAAAAAGAGAATTTGCTTTCAGTCGCCGCATCAATAGTAATATAAAATAATAAAAAAAGGGGAGAGAGAGAAAAGAAGAAATAATAAAAAAAAGATGTGGGACCCACTGAATTTTTATAAAAACTCACCCGTTTCCTTTTATTTCTTCAATTCTTTTCCTGCGCGCGAGCTGAGGCGGAGAGAAGCGAGTCGCCGGTGCGAAATATCTAAATTTTTAAGGTAAGAGTTTTTAATAGGATATTTAGGTGTGATTTTAAGCTTTTCAAGACTAAGTAAGTGTTCTAAAAAATTTTTTTAGTCATCCTTCTTCTTTAGTTTCTGAGTTTGTAGTGGTAGAAAATTTAAGATCTAGAAGATGGATGAATTTATGTTGAATAAATATGATTTTTGAGGTTGTCAGTAGTATAATAAATGTTCTAGAGTATAAATTTATTGATGATCTTTGAATTTGTGGCTTATGGATCAAATTCTAAACTAGATCTGAAAATATATGTTGATTTATTGAGGTTTAGATGATTATTTAGGATGAGAAATGAATTATTATGGTTATAGGATTATGATTCTAAGCTAGAGACTCAATTTTTAATTTTTGGGTATTTTAGGTACAAATTTATGAAATAAAAAGAAAATTTTGATAATAGAAATTAGTTTAGAAGTTGATTTTTAGATTATTAATGTTTATTGATAATTAAAAGAGGAGTTAAAAAATTTTACTTAATAGTATTAACTCTAGATTTGTATTAAGATTGAGATTAGAAATTATGTTATATTTTTAATTCTATTATTAGAATTATTTTATTAGTTTCGAAAATTGAAACTAATATTTATAAATAATATGTTATTTGTAGATTGTATTACTGGTGAAGATTGTGGTGAGAGAGAAATTTTAAGAAATAATTTATTGAAAAAGCCATAAGGTAACCATGCTTTTAATTTATGATTTGTGTTACTTCATGTTAATTGGGTGATTATTAAGAAAATATAAATTTTGTAATATTATATAATTGTGCAATATTATTATGAATTTGTTTGATATTGTGGGAGGTGTTGGGAGACTTGCTATTATTGTTGTATTTATGTGCCACGTGGTACGTCCCTATTGGAGCTCAATAGGTGGCTTGTAAGGGCTCGAGCTAATCTACCTTTGGTCAGGTAATTTAGCACCGAGTGAGGGTTACGGCTCGAGGTTAATGGAGATATAAGGATGGTTGTTTGTGTGTATTACAATATTTCTTATATTTGTTGAAATTATGTTATTTTTAATTCTCACTTAGTAAGCACACACTTAACTGTTTGTATACACTATCATAAATTGGCTTTAGTTACTAGGACTTTTGAGTCTCATTATGTGGTTAACAATTTTCAGGAGAAGAGCCACAAGTGACACATGGAGGAGTCCTAGAGGCTTAGTGGTATAGATCCACTGTCTCTTTTGGGTATTTAATTTATGATTTATAATGTGTTATATTGCCAATATTAGAGCTTTTTGTTTATTGTCAATTATATGAATATATAAATGTAATCATGCCTTTCAAACTATTTCTATTTTTGGTACAATTTGAATGACTGTAATTTTAATATT